TGACAAAATGTCAAATGTTCGGCATTATTGGACACGTGTTAAGTTTTCTAACAAAAATAAAGAAGTAAAGCAGTTTTGGATAATCAAAGGGGCTTTTCCCCATAAAGCCCCCCTCTGGTAAAGCCCATGTTCAGCCCAGATCTCAGTTCTGCTGCTATAAACCTGAACAGGACAAGGTTAAAACACAATATATGTCAAATATTTACAAATTTACAGACACAAACACCACAGAAAAATGTATTTCTTTACTGTCACAATGCACAATATGCACAGGCATTTAACCAGCTATCCCAGCACCATCATTTATATAAAAAATTAGATTGATAACAATATAAGATATAGCGGCTAAAATCCAGTATTTTAGGCTACTGGTTGTTGACTGTTGAAGGCATTGGTCTTACGTGTGCTCTATTAAGAATTCTGGATGCCAGTCTTTGTTTTGATTTATAATAAAGTCGTTTATTGTTTGCATAATGTCCATCGTTGCTATTTCCATTGCAATTCACCCACATTCTGACATCGAAAATCAACCAAAAACACAGTAGAAAACTGTTGCCCCTTCTTATCAACAACACCTGAACACAATCACGGTAGACCTTAAATAACCCATCCCTCATTAGACACACAGAACTCAAAATGAAATACGCCCCCTGGTGGCGATAAACACAGAAAAGGATAAATGGCTCCTACATAAGGTAAATAAAAGGTAAGAACAATATGTAGAACTGAGCAGCAGCATGAACAGAGTAAAGTGACACTAAAGGGAAATAGCTTATAAGTCACAGTGAATAGTTTTTTGTCCATAAGTACATTCAGGATGACAGGAAAGGAAAGAAGTATAACCAGGTGTTCTTTAGGCCTCTTTGGGTGTCTGGAGAAGTCCCTTTTAGTCCTGATGGATCTGAACGGAGGGCCGTGAACAGGTGTGTGGGGGGGGGGGGTCCAACAATTTCCTGACTTCTTAAGCTCTGGCTGCAGAATGGCAGGTTTGTGTGCAGTCAGACGGATGTGAAGTGGAGCCTGCTCACTGTTTTAGTCAGAACTCTGTAAAGACAATGAGAAACAGGACCTGAGACACATTTACTCCACAGAGAATGACAGATACCAGAATGGATTAGACTGAATTTAAATTAAATGTAAACTCACTTTCAGATACTCCTTTTCTTCTGGATTCACTTGCAATATTTTCAACGATTTGTCCTGTTTTGGTTTTAAAAAAAGGCTCGATTTAATTGAGATGTTCAGCAAATTCTGCCATTGACAGCTGCTCCACTGTCTGGACCTTATTGACTCTTGTGTGTTTGTAAAAATCAAATCATAATAAGTCAGTGAATTCATCATCTAACAGTCTCAAAAGTCTCCAAATATGTTCAATTAAACTTAAGTTTAAAGGACAGTTGGTGCTGTCAGAACGGCAGAATTTCAGTAAATTCATTAAATTGAGTTATAATTGTTGCACTTTGGGGCTAGTTTCCGGCCACTTCCGGGTTTCTGCCACTTCCTGTTACCAGCGCATGCGCAGTAGCCAGAGTCATTTCCGGGTTTCAGAGTGGAGTCAGGCGCAGAACATCAGAGAGCAGCAACACACGTCTGCAAAGCAAAGAAAACCACCGGAAACATTAGCTCTGTCTTCTCAGAGCAGAAAACAAACCCGACTAGCAGCTTTAAACGAGTGTAGCCACAGACATATATACGTAAACATGTCCGTGAGTGTAACGGACTGTTTGTGTTGACATGTTTTCCGCCAGTGTGCGGTGTTTTACGGCAGGGGGCGCACGTGAGTCTTTCTGCTTGGTTAAAAAATAAATAAAAACGTGAAGACGTTTTATAGACCGACCCACAACGCTTTCTTTTCACATCTCAACACAAACAGTCTCTTTCATGATGGACATAAACGATCAGATCTGTGTTTTAAACAAAGTTAATGAAGTTATTCTGAAAAAGAAAAGTTAACACAAATGTTTTCGTTTTCTTTATTATAATAGGTCACGTTTAATGTTCTTTTTTCATCCTTTTGAACCGATTTAACTGTATTTTCTTTCTCAGGAACAATTAAACATCTTAATCTTGACCAAAACTCAGTGAATTCTGTCGCATTAAACCCGGTTTGTTCGCTTAGAAATAAACTTTAAAGCTGATTATTTCACTACTTTGAACAACGACTCCGTTCACATTTTGATCTCTTTCAGTAGCTCCTGGATTTTGTGGACTATTTATTTATTTACCTGATTCGCTGCTGAGTTTGAGGACCGTCGGAAACTTGGTCCTGTTCGAGGAAAAGTAATTTTATTTATTTTTTCTAACAGTTAATCTTCAACCTAACACCAATTCCTGTGATATCATTGTGTCTAAAGGAGATGAAAGTAAAAATAAGGAACCGCCCACAATCTTACAATCTTATCTTTGTCAGACGTTTCGTGCCTCTTTAATTGTTTAGTTCAGGGATCACTGATATTATCTTGATGTAATTATGAAGGGTGGGTCAGTAAAAACTTTTGTTTGAATCTATATTAAGTAGATTCTGTTAACAGGAAACACACATATTGTGTGACTAAGAATAATGTTAATAAAATGGACAAAAGATAAATTATAAGACAAACAGAAGAGATGTTTGAAATGTTTTGTGGCGAGACTAGCTTGAAATGGGGAAATTGTAAATTTCTGAACCCAAATAAAATTGCTCAACAACGCCACCTTGGGAATTTCACCCAAGGAATATTACTCTCCTTTTTGATAGGACACACAAGTTCGCTCATGCGTGGATTAAGACATCTGAGACAATCTTACGATGTACAAACAGCCTTTTATTAGATGCTTCTTAAAATATTCTTTTTAAAACCAATTCTTTATAACACTAAAGGAAAAAAAGAAAAGTGACTACAGTAGCTGAGGTTACCGGCGGAAGGGGCCACTATAGGACGGTATCCACCCGAACACAGCAAATAAAACCCCTAAAGCACCAGACGCAGTGAGACAACCCAAACTCAGGAATCACGGTAGGCGTGCACACACACACACTCACAAACCGGCGAAGAGGAGGAGAGCCGCATATTAGCGTTTTGCCTATGATCACACCTGGATTTACATCTTCTGTGAACAAGCAGCAATAGTACAAACAGAGGGGAGACCTACCACCACAAGATCAGAGCAGCATGCAGCTGATGTTATGCTTTTTGACTGTCAGTCCCTGAGACGCAAATCACAGCCAAAGCTTGAGGAAGACGTGTGTGTCCGATTGAGCGCAGCAGCTTCTTATATACCACGCCCACTTTGCCCAACCGGAACCTCGCACCTGAAAGCTATTTGTATAGCAATATATATATTTCTATACCACTACATTCTGAAGAGTTTGGCCCTTGATTGAGGGGAAAACCAGACAGCATACTTTCATTTTTAATAAAAAAAAACTTGGTTAGGTAAGCAAACTGCACACAGTGCTTTCACTTTAACATATAAAAAACAATCATGTGTCAGTCTCATGGTGTGTCTAGAGGTGTGTTCCAGTTTCTTATCTGATAACATAAATGATTCAATATAAATCTATAAAAATCCCTACAGCTGTGAGCAGCATTTCCACATTTCTGTTCAGGGTTTGAACAGCCTTGGATGGCTCATAACTCTGGTTTCCAGTTGGCTTTAAACACGGCACGGACCAGAATAAACATCACTGAGCCCAGAAAACAAATCTGGAAGACTAATGGATGCAGAGTTAGAGTTTTGGCTGAACGACACATGCAAAGTTAAAAG